CGGCGACGAAGGCAAGCCGGTTGGTGAAGATGTGGATGCCCAACAACGGCGGCATAGTAGGCCAACCGTGTAGGCGGAGACACCAGTCGGCGGCGGCGAAGGCAGGCCGGCGGTGAAGTCGTAGATGCCCAACAGCGGCGGCATAATAGGCCAGCCGTGCAGGCGGAGACACTAGTCGGCGGCGACGAAGGCAAGCCGGTCGGTGAAGACGTGGATGCCCAACAACGGCGGCATAATAGGCCAGCCGTGTAGGCGGAGACACCAGTCAGCGGCGGCGAAGGCAGGCCGGCGGTGAAGTCGTAGATGCCCAACAGCGGCGGCATAATAGGCCAGCCGTGCAGGCGGTGACACCAGTCGGCGGCAACGAAGGCAAGCCGGTCGGTGAAGACGTAGACGCCCAACAACGACGGCGTGACCAACCAACCGTATAGGCGAGGCTGATTTGCATGTAGATTCGTCTCTCTGATTTTGTTGACATTATGGGCTTGGTGCAGCTAACCGGCCTTAGAGGTTGCGTGTGGCATGAGCAAACGCTACATCGGTAGTCGAGCCACGCACTATGTCCTGGTGTACCCCTCTCGGCAACATGGTAGCAGTGGGAAGCATTGCACCGACGGCCGTACATGCAATAAAAAATCATGAGAAGATTAGTATACGTTAGTAATTAATCTAAATATATAAATTACAAGGAGGTTAGGAACCGGCAGCACAGCCAAATCCCATCACTCATTAAGGAACGATTTTTTGATCTCGATTGCCATCCTGTGCATGCGACCAACCATCGCTCCAGTATACATGCAAAACAAACAGATATAGTTTGATTAGCCTTAAAATATTACACGCTTAATTGTGTAATGCATATATCAAGCTAGGGTTTGATATTAACCCGTGCATATCAGTTGATCAACACATGCACGTGAAGCACTCAGTCGCTGTTGATCCCATGGACATGAATTGTCCCCGTGTCGTATGAAGGTTACGCCGGCACCTGTACAGATCGTACCAGGCGACGAGCAGACACACCGGGACTTCGTCTCGATCTCAGCCGGTGCGTGAAAACAAGAAAAAGAAAAGTAATAGAAGATTAGTCTGCAGTTAGAGAATGATCTAACTAGTGAAAACGACAAAGCCAATGATATTAATTGGAGATCGAATCGATGAAATTGCCGAGATTGATCCCTTCGACTGGATTGAATCCGAGACGAAAAAGACATGCTTGATGAATCCGGCGATGTCGGAGATTGGTTCCATCACACTTGTGATAGGAAACTCGACGAACCCCTACCTGGCGCGCCAACTGTCGAAACATGAATTCGGCAATAATAAAAGGGGGTAGCGCACGAGACCTAAAAGTGGATGGATGCAGAGACAAAGGATTTAGACAGGTTCAGGCCCTCTCAATGAGAGGTAATACCCTACTCCTGTTTGGGGATTTGAATCCGCCAGGTGAATTATAGATCTGACGATCTAGTTGTCTCATGCCCCCTAGAGGGCCTCCTGCCCACCTTATATAGGATGGGTGGCAGGATTACAAGATAGAAACCTTATTCAATACGGTATTGGTTTCCTAAATCTACTTTACAATCTTATCAAACCAGGGCTTTAGGCCGTTCCGTAATATACAAGGAAACGTAATACCCAAGTCATAATCTGTTACATATTCCATATATATAAGTTATCCACTATAACTAGTCGGATAACCATGCCGTGTGGGTATGGGGTACCCATAATCTCCACACTATGGTTTGGTTGTCTAGCACAGAGATTGATGTGATATTCACAAGGGGTTTTTTTTTACATATATATATATATATATATGCCTTGGGCTAGGTATTTTTGAAGGCTCAATATTTTTGTAGTCAATAGAAAGAGGCAGTCCTCACGCCCTCTTATTGGGAGGGGAAAAAAGTACTAATTCCATGTCTGCGCGTTTGGGCTCGCATCGCAGGCATGCAGGAATCAGCCGGTCGTCCGTCGTCTCGGCGAGAAGAGCGGATCGCTGCTCTGCATGCCGTTGCTCTTATGATCTGCTCGATCACCAGAGGGCAGAAGCCATGCATGATACTGTACAACGCCTGCTAGCTTAGCTGCCGGCCTGCCGCATGCAGCATTGCCGCCCCAAGAAACACCGGAAAACACATAGCCAGACCACCAAAAACGTTCGTGACATTCCGCCGCGGGCATCGCGGCGGTGCGCGGCAGGCATATGCAGCCGGGGCATCATGGGGCATGGGGCCGCGCGGGCCGGCATATCTCCTCGCCCCGAACCATCCGCGCCGCGCGGGCAATTACTCGGTTCATTTTTGCCACGATCCGCGCGCGCATCGGTCGGCATGGGCCGCGCGCGCGGCGCGCGCAAGCGGCAACACGGCAACGCCGCCCACCATGTCAAGTTGGCCGCTCGCCCGCTCGACCTCACGCGTATGCTTCGGCGCAACATGTCCAATTGTCCGTGTACCCGTCGTGTCTGCTTCCTGATCGTTACGGCGTGCAGCGGGCGCCGGTCGATCAAGTCGAGATTCGCGGTTGAGTCCGTGCCGTTGATCTGTGTTTTCGGTAGAGCACGGTGGTATCCATGGGAAGAGGAGGAATCACGTTGTACTTGAGTGGCCAGATTGCTTGACATGGTTTGGGCCTTTTAAGCTGGTTGTGCTTAGGTAGGACCTCTGGGCTGAAAGGGAGGTGTAACTAAACGGGCTTGCCCGTGGCACCAACCCCACGTTTTTGGAGTCTTGGACTTTTGTTTGGCTTGGGCTGAGTGGACGCGGGATGCACGTGGGCTGCCTCTCGCAATTGACCTCCGCCAGCTGCGACGCCACCTACGGAGGCGCTTCCACCTTGCAGCGAAGAGTGTAAGTGGATCGATCCACGAAACCATTAAATAAGGCTCGGTTTGATTCAGCTTAAGATTATTATAATCTAAATTATTAGGAGTAAGCTGGAACAAACAAGTAGATTATTATGCTAGATTATTATAATATATAAGTCAGATTACTATAATCCAATAATCTCCTTTAGAGGAGCTTTTTCCAGATTATTGAGTGGCTAAAGACCCATTACCCTTAGATGCCTCTAATAATCCAAATAAACAAACAACTCGTAGCTTATTTTTATGTCAGCTTATTATAATACAGCTTAGAGTAATCTGATTTAATAATCTAGATTACAATAATCTTAAGCTGAAACAGACAGGACCTAAGTGGATAAATCATTAAGTGGATTCGTGGATCAGCTCGTTTGCTTGTGGCATTCCATGTAGACTGAGAATAGAGAGGCAGTGGCGGAGCCACTTTACGGGCAGGTTGGGTGACCGCTCGGACTCTATCGTCATCGTCTTCATTGTCAATAGCTGCCAAAACATATAAAAATTAATCGATCACGGGAAACACTAACAGTCGCCTGAACTTGACGACGCTACATATAAAAATTAATCAATCACGGAAACACTAATAGTCACCTGAACTTGACGACGCCGCTGACTCCGTCACTGGGCCCATCGATGCTTGTCAATGACCTGTGACTCCAACCTCCGACTCACAACCACAAGTTCCCCGATCAGAACCGGGACAAGAGGGGGACAAGAGGCATAGGGGATGGACTTAGACAGCAGCGCGAGTAACAGGAGCAACGACCAGAAAAGCCCGTGCTTGATTATTTTGAGCACATGCTTCTTCAGTAAAGAGGAATCAGACGATTCAAGTGGAATTTTTTTGTAACGTATCAATAAGATAGAGCTATGCTGCGGGTTGTCTCAGGTCCTAAATAAACGCGGACACTTAAAAAATCTGTTGGGTAGGCGGATTCGCATCTCTTACAACCCACACAATCTTCGGTTCTTGGTGCGGAAGCAATTTGCTTGGCTTTACATCCATCCCAAGGTATCATTTGTAATACATTTATTGGACAAGCTCGTGCACATTGAGTGCATCCTATACATGTATCATAAATTTTTACGGAATGTGACATTAGATCTATAATTTTTTCCTTTCAACATAAAGATTTTCGACCTGGTCATAATGAAATTAGTTTTCGTTTTTTTTATAAGGAGTGTGGGGGTAGTCATGGCCATCTAGGCGTGTAGGATAGCGTTGTTGTGGGTGATGGGCTGATTGGGGCAAGGGCTCACGGGTAGAGTTTACAAAACCGTACGTGCGGTTATCATTTGCGATAACCTTTTCAGTTTTTAAAACCACGGAATAACTCGTGGTACCTGCGCGGTTCAGCTGGCTCGCTAGCTTGTGGACTAGCCTGAGTTAGCTTATCTTAATAACGAGCTAAAATGCTATCTTGGCTCATTACAAGATGGAAATGAGTCGACTTGAGTCGAGCAAACTAACCAAACACGAATTTTTGCCCGGCCATATGTGCAGGTCATATTTTATCCAGGCACTTAGCATTGTCTAGATCCTCTTGGAGATTCTGCAGCTAAGAGATGAAGGTTCGTCTCCACTACGACACAATGACACATAACTTATGACTCTGAAGTCTGGAGCATGATTCTTGTGGGAGATGATAAATCACTTATTCATGCGTTCAAAATGACATCCTCAATAGCGTGATGACAAAGAAGTACCTTTTTTTTTCTTTATAATGGGCAGAGAAGTACTTGATCCTAGAAAGGCAAAAGCACATGTAGGTGGGTAAAGTACAAATATTCTAACAATTGAGAATTTGTAAGTAGAGGCTCTAATATACTGTCCTACTTGGAATATGATACAGAGAAAATATCACAAATTTTTTATAGGAGTAGCTAGCTGGATGATAAGGTCCATTGCATCATTCCAATTGTGGCAATGTTGAAATGACTAGGCAACTGGTCAATTATAAAGGGATAGTTTAGGACTTTCTGCAACTTGCCCCTCATTATGCAGTTGTTTATAGAATGAGCAATTATACTGTCTGCTAAGCTCTATCCCAATTTCCCTGTTCTGCTCTCCTACTTTTGTAACCGAAACCAATTTTCCCTTGTTATTTAAGTTATTCTTCAGACGACTCACGTGTAGATCAAAATGTCAACATGGGGCTACGATGTCGAAAGATATATTAACATGGAACAACTCAATACAAATACAACCTATATTGACTCAAAGAATATGACCCCATGTTTTTCATGAGGCAAGACAATGGGATTGACTACACGCTGTACAACAATACAACCTATGCAACTTACTACTATATTATCCACGTAATAACCTACAGCCTACAAATTGAAATATTCAAAAAACATCCAATTGAACTTTGACTAAAGTTTCTATAGCTTCTGATCCATGCCAAAAACGACGGATCCTGCATGACATCAAGAAAACAAATCAGTAAGTTTTTTCCTTCGCGAAAACGCAAAAGGATTGTACGTCAATCAGTAAGTTAAAAGTATGATACGGCAAGTATTTTCACTGTCTGAATTCTCGGTTGTGTAGAGACTAGAGAGTTGTCACTTGTCAGTTAATTTACCTAACGTTGGCAGTAGGATGGTGAGAGCTGCAACCCCGACAATTTTCAGGGGCGTTCCGGCGATCACCATGTCCTTGATGCTGATGTAGCCCGTGCTGAAGCCGACGACGTTGCCCGGCGAGCCGGTGGGCAGCAGGTAGGACAGCTGCGCGCCGACGGCGCCGGGGACCATGAGGAGGAGCGGGTGCACGCCGATGGACTTGCCCAGCTCGGCGAGCAGCGGGAGCACCAGCGTGGCGGTCGCGTCGTCGGAGGTGAACTCGGTGATGGCGCCGCTGAAGACGCACGCCACGGGCGCGATGGCCAGCGCCGGCGCGCCGCGGAGGAAGCCGAGCCCCTCGGAGAGGATGTCGGTCAGGCCGCTCGCCCTGAAGCCGTCGGCGATGGCGAAGCCGGCGCCGAGGAGGAGGATGATGTTCCACTGCAGCCTCCGGCACTTGCCCCAGTCCATGAGCTTCTCGCCGTCGTTCTTGCCGCTCGGGATTATGAACAGCAGCGTCGCCATCATGATCTGCATTGCGAGCCAAGTTGTTGTCCCGTGAGATCATGTGACAAATCGTCTCTGAGAAAACAAATCAGAATTTGTTCGATCCTTGGTGCGCTTACAGTGACAGTTCCATCCCCAACTTCGCCGTGGAAGAGTGATCCCCACCCAGGAATATCATCTGTCAGGCTCCTCGTCATCCATAGGACAATCAAACCCTGCAAGAATCAATTATGGATACATTAAAATTTTGTCACACTATAACGAACCCCTCCATGATCGCGTCATAATAACGAACCTGCACAAAATTAGTTGAGAAGGGCCCACCAGTGATGATGTGGCAAATTTTAAAATTTTGGGAACTAAAATTTCAGGCATCTCTTGGAGAAGGGGGTGTTTTATAGGCCAAATTAGTTTTTGGCTGTCCCCAATATAGGATTTTTGGGGCTTTAATTTTAGCCCTTTGTTGGAGATGCTCTAACCGAACACTGTTTCCAGGTTGAGATAATTGCTATAACCCCAGAAATGGAAACGGAACTTACCCCAAAAACGGCTAGAACCATCTTCTCTGCAAAAGCCATAGGACCTGTCACAAATCAAGATGGACAACCGAATCAGAATCCATTATGGCAATAATTATCATGGCACTGATATTTCAATGAGTGCCACTGTTATGGAGAAAAAGACCAAAACGAGGTCCATTTCAGAGTTACCCAGGTTTCAGGAAATATTGGCCGAGAAGCTGTCAGAGTTTCAGAGATAACCCCAGAATAACATTGACCACGCCATTGATGAGCACTGGCCATTGCCGTGAAGTAACAAACAAACAGAGCAAGAACGAGAACCTACCAAGCAAGCTGAGCTCCCTCCTGAGATGGCTCCTGTCCAGGTAAGCTGAGAGCGCCCTCCCGGTGTTCTTGGAGCAGTACAGGACGCAGAGCGTGGCCCAGAGCGCGACGAAGAGGACGAGCGCCAATGGGAGCCCGAACGACATCCACGAGCTGAAGGTGATGGGCGGCTGCTCCGGGAAGTAGGTGGACCACATCCCCACCAGGATGATGTTCACGCCGGTGCCCGTCAGCGTCGCCATCCCGCCGATCGCCGACGCGTACACGACGCCGAGCACCACCGCCTTGGAGAACCGCTGCACCTCCCGCGCGTCCGCGGCGCTGCTCGCCGAGGACGACGCCCCGTCGACGCGCGGGAACCGCTGCAGGATCCCCGTCGCCACCGGCATCATCATCACGGTGCACGGTGTGTTGTGGATCCACATGCTGATGAACATGGTGGTGCCGCAGATTCCCAGCAGCAGCAGCGGCGGCTTCACCGGGTCGCCGCAGAACAGCGACGTGATCTGCAACAAAGTTCGCGGGTTTTCCTTGGATTGTTAGTTGCACGGTTCGGACGAACGGGCTTGGTAAAGACGGGCTCGCGGCGCGGATCACGTACGTTGAGAGCGAGGCGGCGGTGGATGTTGTAGTGCTCGATGGCGAGCGCGAGGATGAAGCTGCCGAGGACGAGGGAGATGACGTCGTCCATGTAGGCCTTGGCGACGGCGTCGGAGGAGGAGATGCCGAACACGGGGAAGAGGAACAGCGGCGCCATGGACGCGACGGCGAGCGGCACGGCGTCGGTAATCCACCACAGGAACACCCAGGCGAGCACCCCGAGCATGTTGCGCGCGGCGCGGTGGCCGCCGAGGTCGACGAGGCCGCAGATCAGCGCGCACGCCACGGGGCCCGACGCGACCGCCAGGTACTTGTTGGCGAGCAGCGACCTCAGCGCGGCGCAGGAGCGCCGGCCCGCCGCGCCGTCGTCGTCGTGCAGCGGGAGCAGCGGCCTCGTCACGTCCTCCGACGAGCTCTCCCAGTGGCTGCGCCTCGGATCCATGGCCGGTTACAAATTTAACAAAAATCGTTACGCGATTCGCCTCTTCCGCCCGCCGCGTTCGACGACGACTGATTGGTTTTGCGTTCTCGTCTTCTCCAGCTGCAGCGTCCCAAAAAGCTTGGCGCTTTTATAGCCGGCGCGGGAACAGAAACAGAGAAACTGTTTGTAAAACTGAAAAGTACTTGTTGCGAACTTGCGGTTATCAGGTTGTGATCAAATGATCATCGATCATTCGTGGCGCGTCGAATCAAGGCGCCACGTCAGATATTATTTAACCAGGAAAAGCCAAATTAGTAACATGGAAATTTTTCATGGCTATCCAACGACCAGTAGGGAGCATTAATGACCTTTTTTAATTAACAAGTCAGCATCCAGATAAGCACGGTCAGCAGTACAAACCCGCGGATAAGACTCCAGCCATCGACTGCTGATGTGTCCTCCGCCATGCTCGTGCCCCCATCTTGAACCAGCCCTTGAGTGGACGAAGAGCTGGCCGACCGCGGTTGGTTGGTCGGACGGAGACGGGGCGACCCGCCGACGCACGCACGGCCGTCTCACGGCGTCGAGCAGCTGCAATTGATCACGTACTACTACGGCGCCCGGGTCTTATCCGGACATGTCGACACGATCCATCGGCTCAGACGACACGGACGCTTCCTTGCACTCGCTCTCGCGGAATCATCTCTAGCTGCTGCTATCCACGCACGTCTTGACGTGGGCACACGGCCGCCCACGCCGCGCGGTGGCGCGCGGGCGATCTGCATCGGCGGCACCGAGTGTACGAGCGCGAGCAACGGAACAGCGTTGGTTTGGTTGGCAGCGGCATGTGCACGCGTCGCGGTCGCGGTCGCGAGGGGGTGGCGCCTCCCTGAGATGCACCCGCGCGCGCTTGCGGCGGCGTTTAATCGTTTTGTGTTTCTCGCGTGCTCGCGCGGCGGTTACAAATAATTTCCACGGTTCGGGGGGCTCGAAAGCGATCGATCGATCTCCTCCGCTACTACGATCGATCGAGCATTATTTGTTGGGCGGCTGGTGGATGCATTCGCGGCAAGATGCACCTGCACATGAGGAGGGAGGGGGGATCGCGGCGTGTCGTGGCCCGGAAGCCCACCGAAGCAGCAGGGGACGTATCTCTTTCCCGATCGGTGCAGGCTGTCTCGCTATAATTTGTTTTGGGTCCATTGCTTCGTTCCGTTACTTCCCCTGGTCGTAGTAGATGGATAATGTCATCAGGTACGTACGTGTCTGCCATCGAACAACTTACTCTGGCTGGGGATGAGATACGGATCCTGTTGTTGCGTGAGGGATCTCGAGTTACGCTCCTACAAGCGAGAGGCAAATGGTCACTGCTTACTGGCTAAAGCAGTTTAAGCGAAAAAAAAGGTCTAATTACTGGCTGAGAGGGAGAACCGGGAATATTGACTCCTGCTGATTCATATCGTCATATCGAGCTCGAGTCATGTAGCTAGCCGTACACGTTATAAGCTTGACTTGTTCAGTACTACTCTATTCGCACACATAAATTCAGGCACATGCATGCACACGGCTAGCTCACATTCTTCTGTCGCATTCCTAGCTGCTTCCGTAGCGCATGACGTCAAACCTATAGCAGCCGGGTCCGGCGCCGTCTATTGCTTCTCTCTGTTCGCAATTTCGCAGGCGATTCGATCCAAAAGTTGGTTCCAACCGAGTCGAAACAGGGACAGAAGGTACCAAATCTTCCTTTTAACAACACGACCTGTCTGCTAAATGAATATTCGGCCTCAATGATTGAATGTCGATCTGCCTCTGGCTTGCAATCGTGTCGAAACCAACACTTCGAAAATAACGTCTCGTGGCCGCGTAGCCGCTAGCTTAGCTTGGGATCGATGACGACACAGAGTGGAACACGCGAAGATTTACACGAAAGGCGCGCCTGCCTCGCATTACACGTAAGTAGACGGGACGCCACACGTAGACACAATCATCGTTAGTCCGATTACGCGAGGACAGGACACGAGTACCGAGTATACGTATATAGGAGTACGACGTACGTAGGTCTCGATTGATCGGTCGGCGGCGACAATCATCATCCAGGGCAGCCGCGATCGGTGGACGACGAGTCCGAATCGCATTTCTGTGCGCGCGCCCCGGATGCGGCCTGCCCGGGGTCGCGCCGCGCGCCGTGCACACGCGCGCGTAAACCGTTTGATGATCGCTGCCTGCGAGCAATCGAGCAGGAGATGAGCAGGTTTGCTACGGGAGCGATAGCTCGAGATTCCAACCAAATTTCGGGCGAAATCGCGGCTGCCACGTGACGTGACTAGCTAAGGCGAGGTTTGCGATAGGATGAGCACGAGATCAGCCGATCGACCGTTTCACGGTAACGGGTTTATTAACCGGTGACTAGTCTTTTCTCGTACGTGTGTGTGGTCTTCAGATTCCGTGTTAGAAATCACATACTATGTTGCTTATGTTTGGTGACGGCCTGACTGACCAATGATCACAACCACACGTTTTTTATTTCTGTATTTTCAATGTCTGTCATGATCAAACCCCTTCCGTGTGGAAATTCTGTGTCTTGTACTCTTGTTTGTTCTAGAGAAAAAGAAAAAAAAAACTTTGTGAGCTAGAACCGAGAGAGAGAGAGAGAGGAAGATCAGAAGTTCAGAACATCTTATCGGAGCGTCTTCATTTCATTGGATTGTGTTAGGCCGAATCAGTAAAGGCCCAATCCGTCACCAGGTTGGATTTGTGAGGTTTTCCATACCTGAAGCCGAAAAGGACCAATTAGACTCAGTTCAAAGGAAAAAGTTTACTTTAAGTCTCTCAATTTGTCACACAAGTTTGAAATTTGGACAGTGATTTTGGCTGACGTGGCGCCTATGTGAATGGTTTAACTTGTTCATTGTCCCACTTGACGTTGACGTGGCACTACAATTGAGATTAAAAAATTAAAATAAAATATATGGGCCCAAAAGCCAGTCAAATAAAACAAAATTTATAATGGGACCCAGATGTCGGTGGGTCCCACTTCCTCCACCTTGCCCCTCTCTCCTCTCCATCCCCTCCTCCTCCCTTTGCTTCCAAATTCCAAGTGAGTGTGCGGCGACGGCGGCCGGCATGCAAGGCAGCAGCGGCAAATGAGGTGAGTCCCGTCAAACATCCTTTACATGGACCAAAATAAACAACCCATATAAGGCCCATATTACACGTCGATGATGTATTCTGTTTCTCAGGCCCAACAAAGGACAGTCTTGGACGTCGTAATTTTTTTTTTCCAAACGAACCGCATAGGGAAGTTTCGGGCGTTATAATAATTTTCCAAACGAGCCGCATAAGAGAGTACGATATTTTATATATATTGATAGAGTAAGAAAAAATTATAAAACCATAGCCCAAACGAACTACACTCTACGCGCCTACATCGCAAACTGTCGGAGCAAGGAACTCCTCTAGTGGGAAGGCTAGACACCCTTCCTTGAGAGTTCGGCCAGAGTGCAAGCATCCGTGCTCATGCTTAGGTCGTGCGAGAGTACATGGACACATGATTTATACAGGTTCGGATCGCTGGGAAGCATAATACTCTACTCCTATGGTTCTAGGACTATATGATGGAGTTTACAATGAGTTATTGGTGTTGTTTTAAGTGGGAGAGTATCAACCCTTCTTCACTATAATGTGGCTAGAATCTAACTTAATCAGAATGAATCAAACTGATTGAACCGGAATTAGAAAAAAAAATTCTCAATGGCATGGATCCTCCTTTCATACATCAAGGGGATTTTACATCGTCCATGCATACAATAAAAAACGGACCCCAACTCCGCAGGAGATGGTAAGCTTAGTCTTGTCGCTGTCCCTCCAAGCAAGCTAACCGGATGTAACATGTTCACCTATCATCTATGTAACATCCTGGTCCAATTAGAATTTATCTTGTGTGACCCATGAGAGCTGTGTGCGCATGTTTAGTACCACCTTACTGGTTTAGCAAGGGTGGAACCAACTTATAAGGCTTCTTCCCTCCAACCATACAACTCTCGGGTTAACCCTTTTACACGAATCGAGTATGAAAGTGTAAGTGGGCCCACACGTCAGATGGGCTGGTTACGCGGTTCTAGAGAGAGTGTTGTTACAACCTAACAAGTGGAGCAGGGTAGATGAAGTCTTCGTCCCAACTGCCAATGGGCCCTCTCGTTAGCCACTAAGGCTGATAAAGGGTGGGCCACATCGGGTGAGCAAGGAGCATGCGTCGCGTCGCCCACCTTTTCTCCAGGGCAACGTGGGCAAGCGAGGGGATGCAATTATGATAGGGCAAGGCTACACACATGACCGAATCAAATCTCCTTGATGATGTAGATTCATCTAGAGAGACATCAGGCCTCGATGCCAACCTCGGGTCCCTATCCTACTTGCAGTGGTTTCGTGAACGGAAGCTAGCTTGGCCCCGAGCTAATGTTGACATCGAGTCACCTTCTTTGGCACTTGGGTCCCTACATTAGTCCTTGCCTTGACCATCGTGTGCCCCGTAGTGCCCCAAGCAGCTGATGGAGTGGGAAGCCTTGTTTCCACTTATCCGACACAAGCACACAAACAATAATCAGGAGCATGACATCCCAACACACTCAACTCAAGCACACATTGTTAAACAATAATCAGGAGCATGACATCCCAATACACTCAACTTCATCTATGCCTTTGGGTTTATCGGGAAGAGGACGAGACAGAAGAATGAATCTGCTATCTCTCGCGAGGCGTGCAAAAATGTGGTCATCTTGTGATGGCAAGGGCGTTGCGACAAGAGGAGAATCCATCTAAGGTGGCTAATGGACCTTCAAAAAAACACCTCTAGGGAGGTTGCACCGCCGGAAAACATGGGTTATTTTTCCCCATCTTGCGCGCCTGGCGATGTTTTTTTTTCTAATTATCTTGTATAATCTAGGTTATAGTAGAAAAACATACAGTATAAATTTTGAAAGTTATGTTGCAAAATTTACTATGTAATTACAATATTACTGTACGTAATCTATAATGTAAAAAATGTACAATTTTTCTTTTTATAAAATATGACGTTGTAAACATAAAAAAATGTGACATCATAAATATAGTCCCATACGGCAAACAAGCAAAATACCATGATATGCCAACTTTCAAGATAAATTTCACTGGTGTGAAGTGAATGGTTCCAAATCAAATCATATATTTGCCTGCTTTTAAAAATGCTACATATACAAACTATCTAAAACTAAGGTTAATACTAAGAAATTATTGCAGTACTTATAAATCAGACACATTGAAAAATTTCATGGGGCTCGGTGGGACATGCTACGTAGAAAGGGTTGCTTGTTTCTGGTTTAGAAAAGATAAAGTTTGTGTTTCTCCATATCCGGATACCAACAAAAAGAACAGGGTAGGGTACTGCACCTCTGGTTGGCCATCTTCTTGATCGTTGTGCGCAACTAACCCCCTGATCAAATCTTATTTTTTGGAAGGGGTCTGCACTTCCCCGCTACCGGAGAATCGCCACTCCGACGGCCAACTTTGAAGATAAATTTCACAGGTGTCAAGTGAATGGTTCCAAATCAAATCATATCTTTGTCTGCTTTTAAAAATACCACGATATGCCAACTTCTTGACACTTTGACCGTTAATACTAAAAAATTATTACCAGTACTACTTCTAAAATGGACACATTTAAAAATTTCGTCAACATAACATGATAAAAATTTTAATCGAAGTCGTGCATTAGAGTTCTATAAAAACAAATCTTGCATTAGACACAGTGAAAGTCCAAAAGGACTTGTTTATGAACTTGTGGAGTAAGTACATGATTTTTAGTCATTGGGCCGAAGATTTGAAGCACCTGCCTAATTGAAAAGCAAGCAGCAACCTTATGCCGGATATGTACACAAAGTGATCGCTATTTGTTTGGAAGAGAAAAAAAACAAATAAATAAAACAACCTCGTATCATGAGAGAAAGAACTATTCCATTTTTTTTCCCTTCGTTCAGAGCATATGTCGACATGTCGTGTCGTCCCATGGTTGCACCCTACTACTCTAAGCCCAGCGCCACCAGCGCCTGAGACTTCCAGTGCTTGGCCTTCTCGAAGCCATTGATGCTGAACTCGAAGTCGTTGATGGTCATGTCGATCTCCTCCTCGGTGTTCATGACGAAGGGCCCCAGCTGCGCCACGGGCTCGCCGATGGGCTCGCCGGCGATGAGCAGGAACCGGAGCGGCTTGTCCGACCTGTTCCACACCTCGACGCCGTCGCCCTGGCCGAGCAGCAGCAGGTGGTGCGCCCCGGCCTTGTCGCCGCCGCCGCCGCCGAACACGCCCTCCCCCTCCAGCACGTACGCGAACGCGTTCCACGTCGCGCACACCGGCTGCCGCGCCGCCGCGTGGGGGCGGACCGTGAAGTCCAGGTACATGGTCGGCGTCCGCGTGCGCACCGGCGACCGGGCGCCCATCGACTGCCCGGCGATCACCCGCACCGTCACGCCGTCCGACGTCGTGCTCGCGATGTCCTTGCTCTGTATCTCCTGGTACCCCGGCTCGATCCTGCACGCACCACACGCGTGTCAAACCACCATGCCAATGCAGCGACACGACATCCGAGAGTGGGGAAAAAAAACGAAGGAGATGACAAGGACGGGTCGTGACGCACATCTTGTTGTGGGAGGAGAGGTTGACCCAGAGCTGGAGGCCCCTGGAGGTGCCGGGCCCCGCCGGCATCTCCGAGTGCACGATGCCGCGTCCGGCCGTCATCCACTGCACGTCGCCGGCCTTGATCGTGCCACGGTGGCCCTCGAAGTCCTCGTGCGTCACGGCTCCCTGAAAAACACCCACCATTCACGTCAGTTCCAATAAGAACACGGTCAATGCACTGGCCTAAGTAGCACGTAGATTCTGAGTTTAAATTTTTATAGGAGTGAATTTCAGATTAAGTTGTTTAGGCTAAGTTCCCAATTTAAATGGTTTCATATTTTCTGTTGGATGTAAAGACCGGATTAAAAATACTCCTCTCTTTTTTTTTAAAAAAAAAAGAACACGGTCAATGCAAAACCAAACTATCAAGGCCATCGTACGTCTTCCTGTAGAAATTGTTTCTTTCTATTTCATTTTACACGGCTTGGCTTGACTGATGTTGGGTTTAGGCGAAGATATATATTACTAATCGATCTGCCAATGATGAGTTCAAGGTGTGAAGCAGAGTTTTGAGCGCGGAAAAGTATATGCGACGCGAGGTGGTTGACGTAGGAAGGCTACCAACCAAAGGCAGAGCAAGGCAACAGGGCCCGTTTGGATGGGTTAGATTCTTCAATTTGACGGAAAGAAACGTTCTGAATTTGCTAAAAACTACTACTCCGTATCAGCCTATCAGGTTTGCGTTGTTGACAAATGAAACGCGTTTAATTCGTTTCTGCTGATCCGTGTGATGTGGTTGTCAAAAGACGCTGCTGTCTGTACGTATCACTGGGGATTAAGCAAGGAATTTTCATGGCCGCTCTATATGCAGTTGGATGTTCTACTACCGACGAACAGAATGTGAACTGTGGTAAAAGACTCTGCCTACCTCGAGCATGTAAGTGACGGTCTCGAAACCTCTGTGTGGATGGTCAGGGAACCCAGCCGGAGCAGACACTGCACAGGATTCGATCAAGAAGACGATCAAAAAATGCAAATCTCTATCACTCTAAACCAGATGATCAAAACCGAGCCAGAAGCAATTCACTCACCTGAGAACTCGTCCAGGACGAGGAACGGATCGAAGTACCTCAGCTCAAACCTCCCGATGCTCCGGCGAACGACGGCGCCGACGCCCTCGTGCTGCGGCCGCGCCAGGAACTTCCGCACCACCTGCCGGGGCTTCTCCATCGACGTCGTCATATATAGTACTACCAGTTACCACCTTTGCCGTCGCCGGCGAACGATCGACTTGATCAGAAATTCAGAATTCAAGAACACCTCGACGACCCTTTCTTCTTCCTCCGACCTCCCTTGCCGGCGATGCCTATGGTTTGTAGTAGGGTATGGTGGTTTGGTTTGGGGCCTATTTTCTTCCTCTTTATATAGCGGCAACACACCTCGATTCCGTTACGCCCCGATACGCCGCCGCCGCTGCTGCTGCTGCTGCTTCCCGGGGTCAAAAGCGACAGATGGTTTCTTGGCGTTTTTTCCTCTCTCCGCTACGGGGAAATATATATAAAAGCTCGCCGCATAGCTCGCGCTCTCAACAGAAAAAGTGTTTCCTTTCGAAACGCTGTGCCAGCTGCTGCAGCTGTTGCGGCCGGCGGCGGTCACGCTGACGCCATGCGCACGCAAGCCGCTAGCCCTAGCGCCCCCGTCGCGCTCGGGCTCTGCATACGTGTGCCTTGTGACAGCGTCGCATCAGCACGCGGGGGTGGACGGGTGGTGACAGGTGAGTGAATGGAAGACCGAATGGTGATTGGGTGATCAGCGAACTAACGCCTCGCTATCAAAACGCCACGTTTACTGGCTTACTGCCGTGATGGTTCAGCTGCTTTTCATCTTATTTACCGAATTATTAAAACAGATATAACTCATTATTGAAACAAATTGTTTTTCTGTTGCATTATTTAGACTGTTTGATTTAAGTTATTTATACTAAATTAATTTTATAATATTCAATTTGTATCTACAACCAAGTCAATCATCCGCCGTAATAATCCTAATCCGCCCAGTAATTTAAGTCAAAGGAGTCTTTTATTTAGTAGTAACTCTATCGTGGTGTTTGAGATATATTAAAATGAAGATGAAGTCAGCATAAGACGAGAAAGTCATTTTGATATTTTAAAGTAGAAAGTTTTGTAAGAAATATCATTTAGCAGTTTAAAAAACGTGCTAAAAATTGAGAAAAAATGGGTGAAAATGGAGCGGATTCGGACGGATGGCCTTCATACCATATCCTAAACCATATTTTTTAAGCGGATTCGGAGCGGGTGCGGATAGTGTACGGATGCGGATGCGAATGCGGAGCGGATTGTTTCGGATGTCGGAAATGGTGCGGAGCTGGTGTGGAATCGGTTCGGAAACGGATTAAATTTATCGGGTGTTACATGTATATGCAATCAATACAACATCGAGTTAGCAATACAAGGAACAATAATACAATAGTTAATAAATGACCCATTGTAATAATTATGTACTTAAGTGCTGAACAACATAAATACATTATGTCTATAATATAAAAATATAGCTACGCAAGTGTGACACGAGACAATGAAAGCCTTAGGCTAATAAATCTAGGTTAATTGATAAATTAGGTCATTGGATGAACCAACTTATATTATATGCAATATATAGAGTGGTTACATTTGTTGATAATTTTGGATTATCTGACAAACGGCCTATCGGATAATCCGATAGAAATGTCGGATAATCCACATTCGCTGGATTTCTAAAAGTGCATACCATATCCTCGTTTCGGACTGATTCGCCCCTAGATCATAAAATCTACTATCTTAATAAAGGAATAGGGACTATAAATTACCACATGGTAAAAATTAAGGGCCCCTTTGAATCAAAGGAATTATGAAGAATTTTCATAGGATTGAAATCCTATAAGAAATTTTCCTATGTAGCTCTTTGATTTAAAGAATTGAAGTTTCCCAAATCCTACAAAATTCCTATGGAATGGCTTATTGCATATAGGTTTTAGAAGAAACTTAGCAAGAGGTCCAACCTCTTGGTAAAAATCCTTTGAGTATATCTCTCTTATCCGATTCATGTGTTTTTCATGTGATCCAATCAAACAAACATTGTTGTGTTTTTCCTATGTTTTGCAATCCTCTATTTTATACTTGCATTTCTATCATAATTCTATGTTTTTTCTATTCCTCCGTTTTTTCATTCTTACGATTCAAATGGGCCAAAAAGGAGTTTTCATTTTGCGGGCGTGAGGTTAATTAATTTTTAGTATTTGGGAGGAAACGGGGCAGAGAAGACAAGATCATGGCCCTGAGGTATTTTTACCTTCCAAGCGACGGCTCCATGATCCTCAATTCAGTTCATGGCTCTGACGTCGAAAGGTAAGATTTTTCACTTGGCTGCAGGCTGGTGATAACATGACGTCAATGTGAGCTCACTCCCTCTCCCTCTGACCTCTCACCTCTCTTCGCCTTCGTGGTGCTTTCGCCTAATCACCATGTGCCTATGATACGTATCATCCACAAAGCCAAGCGTTGACCTCGTGGATACCGTCCTGATCAAATCATTAAAAATCCCATTAATGAGCAGGTTCTAAACGCCAAGTTCTGTAGTACTAATGCGCAGGCCGGCCGGTGAAATATCTAACTGAATTGTGCAGGGTCCATTACATCTTTTTTTTTATAAAGCTTATGACCTAATTGAGCCTTAAAGTGGGGAACAGAAACTATAATTAGTAGCCGGTAGAACCCTTCTTTTCTGGCCACCAAACGGCCCCGCCCACAGATTAATTAGTCATGTCTACTTCCTTTACAACATCCTGGTGAACTTAATCTACGGGCAGAGAAAAAAGCAGCCATGAAAAGACACCGATTAGGAGATATCTCGGAGGATTTTGATTGGAACGTGTAAAAATATCGCCACACCGTCAAGAGGCAAGAGCCCACAATCTTGTGCTGTACACAAAATCAATATTTTGACTGCAGATTGCCCCATTTTTTGAACTCAAAATAAAAAAACAGCTTGGAAGGTGATCGCAAACATGCCTCGATGTGACGCCATCTGCCGGACCATGACGAAATGGAGTGGACAATTGGCAAATTGGCAAAGAAACTAGCTTTCCTGGAGACGAAAATGAAATGTAATTCGGTGGGCAAAGTTGATCAAAGTATATAGTACGTGTTCTTATCAGCTTACCCGATAGGCAAAGAGTCTTGACGTATCCATGAGTCATGCCTACGTTCTCAGCTTCTTATGCTTGGATGCAAGACCAAATAGAAGAAATTAAATTGGTACTTGCAGAGAAAAATAATGCGAAAGGAGAGAGGAGAATCGTAACCACCCAACAAGTCACTTTCATTCAGGGAGTCCCACATACTCCTCATATCTTGTTTTGGATCAATAAGCACCCTGCAAGTAGTTTCCTTGTGTTATCTTGTCTCCTCTGGCAATTTTATCATTTCACCTTTTTTTATCCTATCATTTGTGGCCATTTTATTTTCCAACCTGACACATGACTCTGTTTGTACTTTGTGTAAGTGCTGGTAGCCTGGCATGGCTGGATTCCAGCCCCTACCTCTGTTGGAACAGTTAACCAAAAGCCCATGTAATAGGGAATAATTTATACGAAAACATCAAGATATCTATAATACGAAAGGGTTATATGTAAATTTTAGTACCACCTTACTAGTTTTAGAAGAGAGTAACACCACTTTAAAAAAGATTATCTCTTCTTACTACTTGAGCTATGTGTGTGAGAGAGAACTAGAGAAACACACGAGCTCATTTGTTTGCCTCGCCTTCTGGGATGCAGGTGCAAGTATATAGAACCTGCATGAATGGTTCATCAAAATTGGTTTTAGTTGCTTGTATGGACGTAAGTTCCTTTTGCAATTTTATTTACTACATTGGAGTAGTGAAAAATCTGGATCAGTTACATGTGACTTGATTACATTTCCTGATTTCTCTTTAAATACCGAGTCATGGTCTCCACATAAATTTACGGTAAAAAAACTAGGGTTTGCCTTCATATGTACTACACCATCACACGTCGTCTGCTCCATTATGCTAACAAGTGTGTACTAGCGATCGGGAGAGCAGGTCTTTGGAATCATCGTATTCGTGATACTGCAACGGGAGAGCGCAAATAAGGTTTTTTGAGAGCATGGGACGCAATTGGTCACTGATGGCTGCTCATCCACCGCGATTTGTCTACATCATCACAAGAGCGTCGCTCATCGACGTCTACGTCTAGTACTACAAGTCATTATCACGGTACCTGATATGCCGGTTGCTACGAACTTCCCGAACTGAATCCTCGGCATGCCGCTTTGACTATATCGAGTATATTTGATTTGTTCGTATGTACTATTTTATACATATGTACAATATACTCATACTCCCTCCGTATCAAATAAGTTTAATTTTGGAATGAATGGAGGCTATGTTCATATTCATGTATATAAGTGAACTTATGAGACAAAGGAAGTATTCTAGTTAATCTATACGATGTCATCTTTTATTTATAGAACAACCTATATATGCTTATACTATCAACGGCCTTATCCTCGAGCACCATCTGTATCAAGGCTGCATATTCACAAACTTCACTATTGATCGATCACCTCCACACTATCTGCTTGGGAGCATGCGATCAAAAAATTGTCAAAACCGGAATTTTTAGCAATGCCAAACAAATTTGATTTCCACTAGTTTAATTGGTGTCGAGTTTTTTTTGTCACATTCTATTTAGATTGGCTCTCTACTTCATTTTGTGGATAAACCTTACATGTCTGCTCTTTGACAACATGTTTCTAATTTGTTTGGTATCCATGTGTAACTATAACCCTACACCTTATTGTTGCTAGGCGTGCCAACATTAATTGTTAGGTGCACCGATGCTTGCTAATATCTGATGCTGGTGTACGTAGGATGAGTATGAAAACCACCATGGATGAATGCAGGCTTGCAAGTGTGGAAATGTAGGAAAATGGAGGTAGTGGCAAGACCCAAGGTCCCAAGAAAGAGTAATTTTATGGTTCTTGAGAAGGTACCATAAGGTACCAAAAATTTAATGTAAAATTTAGTACATCATATTTCCTAGCTACTAAATTACAATAGAAAAAATGGTACCTTATTATACCTCCTAAATACCTCCTTAAGGAATGTAAAATTACTCTCCAAGAAAACCACCTATAGGATATAGTTGAACCAAATATACACTAGAGGGACGTCGAATGAACAATATAATCTCTAGAGGTTTTTAGATTTTCTCCTATCATGAAAATGATGAGGTGAAACATCAATATCTACTAATCATATGTCTTTCTTCTGCCAAAACATGGCGATATAGTGACTAATTAGCTTACTTAAAAGGGTAACAGCTAGCAGTGTTATTTTTTTAGAGACAAAGACATTATGTATGCCACTTTTGCCACTTTATGATTGGAGTTAAGCTTGATCCGTAATACTCCCTCCTTCCCACGCCGTTGACATTTTTAAACATGTTTGACTGT